GTTCTTAACCGATTATAGATGTGATACAGTTTCATAAAAGTTATCTCGATTGTGTACCGTAAAGTTAAGTAAAGGATTTACCTAAAGTAAACATAGTCTGATACAAGTTTTTCAGAAAGTGCTGAGTTATGATTATAACTATCACATCAACAAATAGGTAGATATGAACGTATTTTAAACAACAAAAAGTTTTATTGATTAAAAAATTCGTAGCACTATTTTATCTTCCACAATATTTATCTAAATCCAATTCAAAGGATATTAATTTACATAAAGGGCGCTTACTCTTATCAACCGCCATATATACAAGTTTCAAAGGATCACAGGCAATACGATAACGAACGAACGAAATAGGTCAATGACCTCGTATTTGGTCGATCCCGTTTAGCGCGCTTTTCTGCTCGACGCTGAATTGTTTTAACCATAGATACATATTTCTCAATATTTATTTGACTTTATAGAAATATTATTAAATGTTGTCTTGCACTAAGATTTTCTCCGGTGTCGTGGGTGTGTTTACAAACATAAAATATGACACACCCACACCACCCAGATACGGAACAATAATTTGTGGATCACACAAAGAAAGTTGTTCCGTGCGGGTCATTAATCGAACATTCGAACCCAATGTACAATAACTGGCTGTGGTAACATAATGTACCACAGCCAGTTCCCCAGCCACAGCTTCAACTGTACCTTACCTACTGCCAGTTATTAGAATTAAATTCAAAATTGCATTATGCGTAGCTCTATCTTACCTTCGTACTTATATTTTTTATTTTATTTATTTGGCTCACCAACGATTGTTTATGCCATAAAATATCAAATACAATCGTCATAATGGAATAGTTGTGTACCAGTGTACCTAACAGTTTCTTCTAGGTTACCACAACGGTAAACTACAAATATAATATTATGAAAAAAAAAAATTTACAAAAAGAACCAAAAACACAGAAAAAAGCAGGACCCCAAAAGACAAAATTTTCGTACGCAACAAAGACTTCTAATCGATCTTTAAATGCATTAACGACGCTATAAGTTTAGTGTAGGTTGGAGTTGATTAGCCGGAGCGACATGCAGGCTGGATATTGCCGCGCCATTAAACTTTAGAGAGCCTATTTTAAATGGGGTTCCTAACTTGAAAGTCATCTTAACTCTTGAAGACTAGTTGTCGTTGTATTTTAATTAATGTTACAGGTTTTTATTATTTTTGGTTCTTATTGTTTTGTAACATAAGTTGGTGTTTTGACGTAACTGCATTTTGCTGCAAATACAACAAATTTATTTTTTTTATTTAAGATTTAAGTTGTTTTATTAGCTTATACAAATTCATATTGTAAATCCTAACATGTTTTCATTTAGGTTTTCATACATACTGGGATACTCATACACCTGGGATAAATTCTGTATGAAAAAAGGAACAAAACAGAAAATTTGAAAAATAGTTGCAATAACACTAACCTTTTAAATACAAGTTAACAATCCTTCCCCGTTCTTCTATTCTTCTCCGCCGTATTTCAAAAAAAAAACAATTAAAAATTAAGCACACCTATTATAAGTACTCGCTAACTTTTCCACTAAGACGCTTACCACCGGCTAGATATCAAAAAAAATCAAATAACCTCATGTTAGGTCGTTCGGATTATTTGTATTGTCTCGCCGTTTCACCCACCCGCTCAGCTCCATCCATTTGATTGTAGCGTGATGTTTATAGCACTCAAGAACATTGTAGCTATCTATGCTATGAGTGAAAGAATTTTGGAAATCGGAGCAACCAAAGATTAGGTACCCCCTACATACAAACTTATTTTTACCACTTTGTAATATTAGTTTAAGTATATGATGTGTGTTCATACGGCTACATGATAAAAATTACAATAAGCTTAAATGCTAATGAGGGAGAATGTTGTAATATATTATATAATGGATAATTTTTTTATGGTAGTCCACTCACAACTCCCTGCAAACCATGTTCCCACGGCTCTCCTACCATCTAACAGTACCGCATGTTATCAGCATTCAATGCGACACGCGCACGCGCCATTTTGTGTTCATGTCTATATCCCAGTGACAAGACTAATGTACCTAACCTGTGAGTGTAACTGTGTCGTTGACGTAATCGGTGTCTGCCGATGCAACGCCTCCATGGGTATTTATACGTAGCTCACCGATAGATAAGTAGCTTGTGTGATCTTTTTGAAACTTAATTATATTTTGTCAATCGATCTCTGTTTTTTTTCCTAATTTTCTATAATTTTAATTCGCTGTAACTTTCCATGCTGCGTTGAGTACTGCGCTTTTTGTGTTACAATTGAAAAAGTACTTACATCATTACATAATATATGTATATTAAATATCACATAAACAAATTATTATATAGACAGAAGTGTATCAAACACATACAGGTTGCAGTTCGGTAAACAGTAAAAGATGACAATAATACTATTTCGATTGTCTACATTCCAACGCAATTTAATTAACAATTCTCTATCATATCATGACCTAGTTTAATCCTAAACATTGCCAATACGTACAAAGCACAAACACTGATGTTCAAAGTGGGCGTCTCAATTAAAACCCTCCGAAAGCAAGCAAAAACATGCTGACATTATATTCTATTTAATGAAATGATTTCCCAAAATCACCATAAGTTACGTTACGCTACGACAGTTACCTATGTGAGTACGACATACCTGTGTGTGTTTGACGAAATCTTTATTCCCGCCAACACAGTTGACATCAATTTAGAAGGTACATCCTATACAGAGAAGTAACAACAGTAGCTAAATAGTAGCTGTTCAGTCGCTAGTCGGTACCGTCGTGCCCCCGACTATCAACAATGAAGCCAGTCGCAAACTGAACACGGTGCACGTCGCCGTCGGATAAAAACGCGCAAGCGCATATCGGGAAGCAGTTTCGTATTAGTGGCAATATTCCAAATTCAACGTATCTATAGTAAAAGTGAATAACAATCCTGATCTGTATTTGCTTAGCACTGCAATCCTAACGTGAGTTTTATATTTTATTTTTAAGAATAACTTTACGCTAGTATGATTTAAATAAAGGTTATAAAGATGTTCCTACGGGAGGGGGTTTAGTCAGTAAGACACTCTGACTCTGACACTCTAGCTCGCCTTACCTTTGGCGGGAAATATCATTTGATGAGTATCCTCTGACAAAAAAGACAACAACTATCCTACGTAGTATGGCAAATAAAAACCTTAATTTTTTTAGTTAAAATGCATGCAATAATTTTAAATTAGGTAGGTATGTAGGTATGCAGATATGTAGCAATAATCAGGTACCTATATTTGTGTCGTGTTTGCCTATCCAGCTATCTAGAGATACGAAAGAGTTTCAAATAGGTCACCAAACATATTTCTACATCCTCGCCACTTCATAACCAGGTCATTGCTCTACTTCTATTGGTAGGTCAAAGCTGAGACGCAATATACATATATTACATACATTACTAAACCATTATTTATTGTCATTGACAAAAAGAACGATAACTTGGGCTTTATAAATAGCAGCTACTTAGGGCCACCTATTTCTGAATTTAAAAACGAAACCCACATTTGCGGTGCTTACTTTTTAACCAACTCCATATTACTTTTACTAGGTATGTCATGAAAAAATACCGAATGAAAAGCAAACCTTACAATTAAATAAGAGGGCCATATGACTTACATCTATTGTAGATACCTGATATTTTTTTACAATTCAATGCTTTATTCGGGCCAGGGTTGACCAGTGTGCCTATAACGCGATACATTAATAAGCACTTTTTATGTGTACTTGTTCATGCTAATAGAAAATGTATTCTAAAACACGTAGCAAGTAGGGAGGATAATAACTTATTATATATCACATAAAAAAAATAGTTTTATTACTTTTGAGTTAGATATCCAAGTGATATCGCTTTTATTATTATGTTTAACGGCTTACTCACGTTACTATTTTGACGAGAAACTCGACTAGTTTCAAGCCACGCTCGGGGCTCATATTCAGGGGAGCAGTATTGAGCGAAGCACGACGCGGCGAACGTTAGTTAAATTCGCGACGTTCACCATTCGTCCCATCGTTCAATGAAGTGTGTAGACCGTAACATAATAGTTTACTTATTATTAATGTAACATGTCTCACAAAAGTTATAAAACGAAAACCTTGCACTTTTTTTTAATACAAAAGCACTTAGGTATTTACTACTTGCATACTAGTTAACATTAACGGAAAGTTACGTTGCATATCGTGAATTATCTATATCAATTTTTTGGCGTGTTCGATCTACTGTAGGATAAAGACCACCATGTTCTTCCACTGCTCTCAGCACAAAGCTTTCTACAACCAATCTTTGTTAGAGTCGACACAATCATCACATCATCTCCTGGGCCTGTGACGAAGTCGGTTAATATTAATAACTGGGTACTAAATTCTTAATGTAAAATAAATAAAAAGCATTCATATTATTTAATATTGTTACTGAGTCAGCTAAGTGAACCCGTAGTTACCTCACGAACAATACAATGTTCCCGTCACGCTTATGCCGATGAAATATAAACCTTTCCGCTTTCAAAGTAGTAAGTCCTCGTACTTATATTTAACTGCAAGATTTTATAGGGCAATATAATTGCGATTATAAACCCAACCTTTAGGGGTATTGTTATAATTTCTTATTTAACTTCTCGGTACACCAGCACTGTGTTTTGATTACTGGCTGACTAGATAGACCTAACTCAGCCGAGGCAAATATCAAATGATGTTCCTATGTACATGTTACTTACAAGTAAGTACAGTATAATGGTAATAGAAAAGAAGGCAAAACATTACCAAGTAAAGTTATCTATACTATTAATTTTATAGAGTTGGATACTTTGTTTGTTTGAACGCGCTGATCTCCAGAACTACTGGTTCGAATTGAATAATTATTTTTGTGTTAGTTAGTACTTACATTTATCAAGGAGGGCTTTAGGCTATAAACATCACGCTACGATTTGTAGGAGCCAAGCAGGGAGCGAAACCGCGCGGCAGAAGCTAGTTTTGTTAAAATACTTGTTATACCTAAGTACCCTAAGGTTAGTCTGTAAGTTTTAGGAAGTATTTCTAAAGTGTTAAAAAGGACCTCCTAAAACGAACCTCTGTATAAACAATGAACAAAAAAGGTAATTTTAAAAACTCATCATGATCTTTTTAATTACAGAATGACGTCACCAGCGATAACAAAATCTCCGGAAAACCAAAAAGCCGAGAAAAAGTCACCTACAAATTCAGTGCGCACTCCAGAGCGCACAGCATCTCGCACCGAGACCGCTGCCCCTACGGCTTCCACATCGACTGCTGAACCGCCAGAAACATTCGGCTGGCTACGGATTTTTAAACTAGCAGACCTCATGATGAAACAAGGTTGCTAAATTATTCTCCCAAAACTTATCACAATTATTTAACATGACATAAGCGGCTAGCAATAATTATCATTAGGCTATAACTCCACTACCATACTTGAAGTTGATGGACTTACTTGACAATAAGATTCCATAAGATCCACAACAGTACCTATACCAATCTATCTGTATACCATTTCGGCTGGTTGAGTACCAACGTAATAATACGAATCACACGTTGCTCTTACATATTTATTATTATTTATTCTTCACAATAAAACGTAAACCATCAAAAAGGTTGCAAGATTTTTTTATTACCTAATCTCAAAATGCTAGTGCAGTTATAGCCTCGGTGTAGGCAAAGGAAAACTAGAATCATTAAATATTATATTATGTACTTGTTGTTAGTACCTAAAAATTAGTTACAAGTAGGGATTGTGATTGTTATTAGTTGTTAATAATGTTATTAATTAATTAAATTCATTAACATTTGTAGGTATATTTACTAGTTGCTAGTACAACAGTGAATGCCGTTCGTAAACTAGGCAGTGAAAATGTGAACCCATACTTTTGTGACTATTGTTTTCTGTAAGTCTAATAAAGATCTTAAATGAAAGACAGACCTACCTTTGGAAGTTACGTTGCATATCATGAATTTGTTGGAACAACGATAATGGTTTTTTGTTAAGTATTCATACTGTTATGAATAGATCAATAAAAATATCGTTAAAATAAATAACTAAACCGTGTGTACATATTTAAATCCCAACTCAACCAATACAAGATTATAATAAGTAGTTCAATCACATTTGAAATAAAATTGTCTTGAAGACTTGCAAATTATGGCTAAAATTTTCAAAAATCAACAAAAATAGCAATGCTACTTTTCTTTTCTATTTATACTTTAATGTACTGTATGTAATAAATAAAGATACATAATGCCATATGGCATTCTCTGCCAGTCAACCTTACAGTTAGATATAGGTACGTAGGTCTGCTCATATTTGACGCCAGTTGGTAGTGTCAGCCTCTTACTAGCTTTTTAGTTCTCGAAATGTAGTTTTGTTAGGGGATTCTAATTATATTATTCGTACCTATGATCACTATTAATAAAGTCTCAAACAAATATAAAGTAGGTAGAGATTAAAACGGGTTGCTAATGATTGGGACTCAAAAGCTAATATACTAATAAAAAACAAAAAATATTTTTATTAAAAAAGTTTAGTCCTTCTTCACATTCCACCAAACTCCGAGAAGATTGAGAATTAGGTAACTGCTTAACTAAAGATCGTCAAAAGGAATAATACATTAATGCACGTATAGGTTTATACTAATAATCAATAAAATTAAATCGGGGAACGTTAAAAAACAAATAACAACACTGATAACATATTGATTGACAAACGTAAATTAAATAATTTGTTTTATGTATTTCATAATTATAAAATACTGTTATTACCTCGATGGATTCATCAAACCCCAAGGGTCTTACTATCGCCCGAGTGTCGTCAATGTGAGGACCACCTAACAGTGGAGCATCCGGTGGCGGTATGCCCTGCCTGGGCTGAGCACCGCCGTGTCCTCAGGGAAGTGATCGGCGGCGGCGATCTCTCGCGCCCGGCCTTAGTCGAGGCCATGGTGCGGAGCGAGAGGAACTGGGACGCCGTCTCCTCCTTCTGTGAAGCAGTTATGCTCGCAAAGAGGGAGGCGGCCCGCGTAAGGGAGCAATCTTCCTCCTCACGCCCCAGCCGCCGCAACAGGCGATACTACGGGCGTCGGGGATCAAGGGATGATCTCCGGCACCCTAAGCGCGGGTCAGCGGACGGCGAGTAAGGGCAGCTTGCCGCCCGACCAGAACCAGACCCGAGCGTACGGAGCGTAGCGTTCCGCGCGCGCCTCAAAGAGCCAATAGACCAGCACAGATGGGGCCCTATAGGGCTGATGTTTAGCCGAGGTTGCGGGGTAAGCGCAATGAGGCACAGCGATCTAGGCCCAGAGCAGGAGAAGGAACGGGGGTGTCTTTAGTCAGTTACAGTCTGACACTCCGTCCCGCCCGGCCCTGGGCGGGAGAAGTCATTTGATGATTTTCCCCTCACAAAAAAAGGGTCTTACTATTGTGCCGAATTACCAGGATTAAAATGTTAATATATATTATGTGATCTGTTTACTACTTCTTAACAGTAATTTATGACTTTAACAAACCTTTAGCGCATGTTAGGTACAATTTTTGCAGGATTTTTATTTTTGCGTTGCGTTGCCTACCCTTTAGGGATTAGGGATTTGGAGATTTAGGGATTGAGGAGGGATTGGGGAAGGGGAAGGATTGGGCCTTCTCCTACTATAGTTCTCATCAAACTTGTACAATGCGTTTCTTATGAAGTCTTGCGTGGTTTTCTCCATGTGAGTGAAGTTGCCAGAGTCTCGCTCTTTCTCCATTACCATCACCCATCCCCTAATCTCCGAAAACGTAAAGCCAAAAGGCCGGCAACAGACTCGTAACTCCTCGATGTTGGGGGTGTCCATGAGCGGCGCGGATTGCTTCCCACTAGGGCATGCAAAACGGGAAATCGGCCAAAATTTAACGATTTTTGAAAACCGGTTTTGAGAGCCAAAACCGGAGCTCAGCTACGGTTTTCCCCTGTGGTTTTCCCATTATTGAGTAACCATTAACATTTTGCTTTCAATCAAAATTTTTTGATGTTGATAAAACAGTAGATAACGTCTTTAAAGTTACAAAAATGTTTAATGTAATTGTGGGTGGCTGTGTTTAATATTTGAAGACTCTGTGTTTTCTATATCTAAATATATTATTTTTGATAGCAGACTTAATAGGTACCAAAGATACCAAAAACTAACTAACTAAAAAAAATATTTGTTGTTGATTTGATCTCAGTTAATTAATCTTTATACTATTATAAGTTCTGTTCATTGTTATTTGTACAATTTGGTAGTTTACTAGGTCATAAATAAATTAGTTGGAATAAGATATTGAAAATGACTAGTTATACTTTTGTTCATAGATCAATCGATACATTAAGTTTCAGTTTTTTTTAGCTAATTATTAAGAAATAAGTAAGCTATTTGACGCAAAAATGTTATGACGTCATAACCCAAAGGTTTTCATACAAATTTTGACGTTTGGATTGAATTTGACTAAAAAAGAAATGTATCATACAGTTAGTTTTATCTATAGACATAGTGGGTATTTAAAAAAATGTGTATTATACTACATTCGATTTTATTTGCGAAAACCCGACCTAGCACCGGTTTGCATGCCCTACTTCCCACCCGGTAATCCACCTGCTCTGTCACATACCTATCATATATAATTTAATTTTGATAAATCTACAAATCTACATGCACAAAAAAATTGTGCATATAGTGGACTTGATGCCATGGGGTTTGGCACCATATTAAAGATGACTTTAATATGGTAGTCATAGTATCATAGGTATACGTTTACACTTAGTAAATAACAACAAAGAATTTTATGTAATATTTTTTTAATAGTATTGGTAGGTAGGAGGTACATAACACACAGGATTCTGGGTTGTTTGGATAAGGGAAGTAAAGATACAATACTATTTTCAATATGTACAAAATATACAGTTATCTCTACAAACTAGCTTTAAAACTATAATATAATTATGATCACAATATTTTTTTCTATACGTACGCTCTGTTAGAATCCAAACCAACATCGAGCACACTGGCAACGGATTATGTCCGCCCGCGACTGTTGCTCTACAACAATCTAGCTCACTTTCACTTTTGCTGCACACTTGAGATCAAATGTTATTTTACAAATATTTAAACTATCATCTCACACACCAGCAACAGTCGCAAGCGAAGAATACCCGAAGTTTTTAAACGTCCCATCCTCATCAAACCACTTCGCATCCTTAAGAATAGAATTAAACATTCTCGGGTAAAAAGTAAAGAGCCCAACGTCGCGGTGTCCCCAACAGTCCAGTTTGGAGACACTGCGCAGTGGGACCACTTTGAGGCTGGCTTCAATAGAAAAACAAAACAGAACTATATTATACTTCTCACATGCAGTTTAGTATGCAAATGTATAATTTTGTGGAATAAAAAACATATTATAATATTTACGGAACAGATGAGTATTCCGATACATATTATTAATAATTGACATTTTAGCATAACGCTCAGGATGTAATTATTCACTAGGCAAAAATTATTGATATTTTCACTTAAACAAAATGGGTACTATGACAAAACAGTTAAGCAGTCATTATAAATTTAACCAACAAAATACAGCATATTATTAAGTTATTCATTACAGCTTAGAAAATAACTACACCCCAGTTACAAAAAAAAACATAAATACTGTCACCGCAATAAATTAGTAATTTATAATTCTCATGTTACTTATAGGTACCGTATTTTTTTCAATAGCGTGTCTAAATACCGTCATATTATATCACTATAATTCACGAAGACTTATTTACATTAACCTCCTTCATAAGGAGTTCAAATAAGATTTTAAGAGTGTACATCATTGGGCATCTGCTTGCTAGTAAAATTATAGATATTTTAAAATTAATGGACGAAGTGATGAGTTCGTTAGTGTTCCTCCTAGCCAAGTTAAGAACTGTTTGCGACGGAAATATGACAAACAATACAATTATTAATATTTTATACATTCTAGTTATAAACCTTAAAAAGAATATACGTAATAACATTACCTGTGCTATAAATTTATATCGTACTTTATAAAATTACAATACATAAAATATTTTGTACTTTATTTTACGTACGACAGCACAGTCGCACCATTATCTTAACTATAATAATAATGCAAGTTTTGCAAGATGCCTGCTAATCGAATCAGAACGACGCTACCGCTACAACTTAAATTATGAGAAGTACAATATTGTTAGTTTATAATATTGGAAAGTTATCATGTCAATTTTTTATTACGACGCACTGTCAATATATTAATTATTATACTCTTACAAAATCGCCGATTGTAAAAAAGCGAATAAACAGCGGCAAATGAGGATGGCGAGTACAAGTAGAGAATAACCTGAGCGGCGGCCCGCAATTAAAGCAGCAATGAGATCCCAATACACTGTGTGGCAGGCACGGCGCATCGCACCACCTTACCATCCAAACCGTAAGAATGCGCGACCCTCATTCTGTTCATTAACATAATTTACTTGGATCGAATCAAAAACCATACAAATAAACAACTTTATCTACACGAAACCATAAAGTTCTCAATAAAAATGAATAATAAGAAATAATATAAACAAAAAAATCAATGATTTTATGATACAGTTTTCTTGTCTAAATGTGATGTATATATACTTTCAATCAACCAAAGTATATATGATTTGTGGTCTCTATATTAAAAGTGATCATTATTTTGTTACTTTTTAGTAATTTTTTACTATCAGAACTTTATGATACGAATGTAAATAAAATACTATATGAAACTGCAGACATAATACTCATGTCACACTTATCAAAAACATTTGGTTGCGTATTTAAACTCGCAATTGTCAAAATTTGTTAACAGTTCCATAAACCACTTTAAAGTTAGTGACAGAAGTAATTTATGTAACCATTGTATAAGAAAATGGAAGTCAGCAACAACCTATTTAAAACGCTGATCATGAACGTTAAGAATCTCCTAAATCCCATGGGAATGTCAAGTGAGTAATTTAATGTAAATATGACTACAGTACCACGCATTCGTTTGTTTGAACATCGCCACGCGTCGAACGTCGTATCTCACCTTGTAACAGTACAGTTCTTTGGCTTTTACCATTGCAAGGAGAGGAACGAAGCTGATTTACAAAACCGTAATCGCTGGGATTGCCTTTATGTTTGAAATGGCAATATTCGGGTAAATATCGCCAACAATGTGTTTAAATCTTTATTTATACTTGCATTTTAATGACAATTTTACTAAGTAAATATGCAAAGTCTTGAATTGATAACATTGTTTGAAATTTGAATTATAACGGACAGTCATTCGGTTTTTAAGTAAAACAATCCGACCTCCGAGGAGCTATTGTGATTTATTAATTTGGTCGATAATAAGATGCCTATCCCTGACCACGACAGTGCGTATCAACAATGCAGTTCTAGTTTAACGCCGAACAATAACCATACCACATTGTTTTACACAATATTAGAAAAATTACTTTCAACAGTATTGATTATTAATTCTGATATCGCTAAAGGCGAGGCCATTTGCGCCACTGGCGTGCTTTCACATAATCGCACACTGCACTCTATGCTCCATAAAATAGGGCTACCTACAGTCTACATTAAAAAGTCAGAATCACAGTTTATTTTCCACATGTATTTTCCCTTACTATATAACTTAATTACTTAATTATGTTTTTACATGTAAACAGTTATCATTCGACCCAGTATTGATGAGTTTTCCATTACCTACCGTAATGACCTAAGCGAAATCAACTTTAGTACGGATAGATTCGGTATTTACAGAATTTAAATTACTTTAGACCTAATTCGCTTAAAACAAAATAACAATTTACACTAACAATAAAAATGCTCGATAGATTGCCACTCATCTAATCGGAACCCAAAATTAAATATACTTTATCAACTGACTTTGCCATCTATCTTTATTTTTTTTAATTTAAACTCCGAATATCGTCGAACCCAGTCGACCATAACAAAAGTATTTTACAAATAAGCTATTACTTACAAACTAGCTCTTAAATAAATGACGGCTGCTTATCTATGTGAGACTTTATACAGGCGCGTGTGGGGGGCCCGCGCCACATTACGCGATTACAATAAATAAACTGACATTACCACAACGAGAGTTCACTTTCTCAGAGGTATTATAACTCAATTCCTAATGATTTTTAACCATCGTGAAGATGAAAAAAATCTATTTTCCATTATAATTATTCTACCAGGTCGATCTATTGCTACGATAAAATGAAGATAAAAATTTCACAACCTGGCCGTATTTACAATGCTTTCTTAAAATCGAATCGACTAAATCGATGACGTCGTCTTTGTCCACATAATGTTCAAGCCATAATATAGATTAAAGAATAACGTGTCCAGTCCAGTGTGTCCATTAGGTCATCAGGACGAAGGTTCCACAAGCATGTTGTATGTATTAAAAACAGCTTGTAAATTAAATAAGTTACGCAAATATGCAGCATACCTCAAACGGTAGCTATGACAATTAGTAAATGTGCGATGTCTGCAACACGATGCATCAGATCTGGTGCAATGCGGTTTAAGTTTTCGTTGGCAAATTCGCAAGACGGAAAGATGTGAACGGTAAACATAGCCTAAAAAAGAAAAAATATAGTTAAATGAACTGCATAATAGGCATTAAAATAGATACAACTTTATTATTTTATGAAATGTTATTCAATAAGGACTGTATTGTATATGCGACAGTGTTGTTGTTTACATACCTGATGATGTCCGGGAGGTGCAATGTTAACAATTCCTGCTGCTTGTTTCTTCTGTAGGTAAGTAATAAACCCTGCCGTCAGATTTGTTGACTGCTGTAATACGTCCATGTGGTCGCGACCACACGGCAAGGCTAAAAGCATGCAGTGCTCGTTTTCCATCTGGAAATTATCATGTAAAAAAGTATTAGATCTCGATTGGACACTATAACATAGTAAAGTCGTCAGAATTCACGAGTTACCTTCATCTTGCGGTGCACTTGCTCTAATTGCGGTTGTTCTAATCGCATACGTTGGGCGATCCGAAGCAGTGGCGTTGAGCCGTCTGCGTGTCGCGATAACGTGTCGCCTGCTACGCCGGGGTTGCCGCCCACAAAGTGCATTTGAACGGCGGCGGAATCGTTTTTTAAAGCCAGCAAGCCCTGCCACATGACGGGGTAGCGCTGTAACAAGATGAGAAATGTTATGAGGGGGTTCGTCCCAAGAGCGGAAAGCAGCGCAGGCGCGCGTACTCACCCGGAGCAGCATCTGCAGCGAGTCGGCCTCGCGCGGCACCTGCGAGGCGTGCGGCGGGCCGGGCGCGGGCGGCGCGGCGCCGGGCGGCAGCTGCGGCCGCGACGCGTGCGCGGGCGGCGGCGAGCGGCCGTAGGGCGCGGCGGGGGCGGCGGCCGGCGCGCGCCGCACCACGTCGCGGTACAGCTCGGCGGCCACGCGCGCGCTGCCGGCGCGCCGCAGCTCCAGCGGGGGAGTGGCCGCCTCGCAGCCCTCTGCCTCGAGCGATCTGTCGGAAAGACGCTCGAATTCATACCTCGGCGGATCATACTGTCTCCCAGTCGAAATGCATTCGCCTATTACCTCTAGCTCATTGATAAGTTATCTTAATACAATAAATAAATAGACGTAAATTACTAATAAATATTACCGAGTATATGGTGAAGGTGTCGCACGGTTCTCGTGCTGCGTTGCGCGAAAATGTTGTTGATACATTTGATAATGTTGATGTGAGAAGTGAGGATACATTGCATCACCCTGTAAACATAACAACTAATTACTATCTTGTTTCGATTCAAAATAAGAAATAAATAAAGATAAAGGTTTTTTCCTCAAAACTATTTCATTACATTATGGTATACCGAAGTAACCGGAGAAGTTTGTTGATGTGCAGGCGGAGGACTTCCCACTAAATCAGCAGACTTCCAGACGGCATGAACAAAATTAAAACATATACACTCTGAAGACTGACTTCAAATTATTTAATAAAAAAAAAAATTACCATTCCAATCTGCCCCTGAGGACTAAGTGCTGGCACACTCGCAATTGTAACTCTTGAAGCAGCACCTGAAATAAATAAAAATTTTAGCAATATTGCATACTACTCTCTCCTTCTGTGACATCTAAGTATTTTTATTCGTATGACCTATTTATTCTTTTGGTAGTTCTCGAAATGTTTGAATAGTTGAATTGTATAACCAGTATGTTTTGTCAGTGATACAGTGAATGGCCCCTTATTTCTCGCTTTATAGAGATGGAGAGAGCTCGAAATTTCTGTGACCGACAAAATCCGAAAAGTCAATTCGCCAATGAAGTAAACTTGCCAACGTAGCTCACAAAAACTGAAAGCTGAGGTGGCAATAGACAGGCAACCTAACACGAAGAGATAGAATGGTGCTCAAGGCGCGCCGACCCGGACAGTGCTCGAGAAGCGACCATTTACCGGAAGGAAGAGTAACAGAGCCAATAGATGCAAGGGATGAGTTGTACATCGACATGGAGAACTAAGGGGAAGGACTGTATCACCAAGATTATCAATTTGACCAAAATGTAATAAGTGAAGGTATTGACGAACTAAACAGTTATGAAATTTGTAAGTAGGCGCTAATAGGTAATAATGTGTATAATGTAGACTGACCAGGATGGTGGGCGACGTGGTGCGGCTGCGGGCCGACGACGGCGACCTGCTTGAGGTGCAGGTCGGGCGGGTGGTGCGCGCCGCGCGGCAGGCTGGCCGTGGCGGCGTAGTGCGCGGGCCGCTCGTCCACGCGGCGCGCCAGCATGCGCAGCGGCCGCAGCTGCGCCGGCGTGGCGGGCGCCGACGGCGGACGGTGCGGCAGCGCGGGCGACTGCACGCGCGCGTCCGTAGCCTCCGACCCGCCCACAGGCACCAGCGCGCCCGGCACGCCGTCAGCCGGTCGGCGCGCCCGCGCCGCCTCGCCCCCGCTCTGCGCCAAAGGCGATGCGGGCGACGGCGGTGCCGCACTCGCGTTCGAACTGTTCCCGACGACCGCTTCGAAGGCTCCCGCTAGCTTGGCGCTGATCTCCGAAATCATCTTTTTTGGTGGTTTTGTTATGGGCGTAGAAATAGTAGGAGTCGCTTGAGGCGCATGTGGCGCATGAGCAGCGAGGGGTACAGGGTTCGCGAGGGGCGCGTGCGGCGCATGTGACGCGTGGGGCAAGTGAGGCACGTGGGGCACGTGGGGCACGTGGGGCACGTGGGCCGCGACGGGTGCGAGGGGTGCAACAGGTGTAGGGTGGGCGGGTGACTGCGCCGGCGCGGGTGGAGGTCCGACTACGGTAGGCAAAACCTGCGCTGCTGGCGGGACACTTCTTGGGACAGTAGCGGGTTCAGGCTCGGGTTCCACAGTTTGTTCTTCAAGACGTGGAGTTTTCGGGTCTCGCATACAATCTTTAAGACTCCGTTCATCACCACTATCGACAGAAGCGTCCGATAGACTTCGATCCCTTGTTCGTTTAGCGCCTCTAGGTGATTTACGAGTGTCAGAAGTCTTCTCTTGATTAGCTTTTACAGCAGCCTGTCTCGTAGCCCTCTTTTTATTTGACTCCTTTCCAGTCCGGGGGCCTTTTATGACATCCTCAATTACATCATCTACTGTGCTTCTCTGAACATCCTTCTCTTGAAGCCTCCGAGATTTACGAGTGTTTGGTGACGGTGAAACAAACTCTTCATTTTTCTCATCCTTATTTTTATCATTTAACTTGATCTGTTCTTTTTGAGCTATACTGAGAGTTGAAGTCGCTGTCACAGAAGAATGAGCTGAATTTGGACTTTTAATTGTTAAAATCAACCTAGGACGTTCAGTTTTATTAGGTGATGAAGCGGATTCGTCACCAGAATCTTCATGGAAATCGTAAACATCTCCAGGCATCGTATTCCCACTTGTGGTAACAATGGCTTTAATTTTTTTATCTACCTTAGCTCTACCCCTACCACGTTTAGTAGTAGTTCCTCTTGCAGGTTTAGAAATTTGACGTGTCTGTACTCTATCTTGGTTCTTATCAATCTTTCGGCCTCTTACGTTACGGCCACCCCTTTTAGCAGTTGTACCAGGTGTAGTTTTCTCCGAGGTGGTCTCTTCTGCATTTTTACTCTCGGCGATATTTTCTATTTGACTTGTAGAGGTTGTTGACATAATATGAGGTGTTTGATTAATAATCTTTTCTGAATTATTTGAGTCAACTTCCATTTCATCCTCAACATCATTGCCTTCAGATTTTTGAACTATTTCAACATTGTCATTACACAGAGAATCGACCTTCTTTATGACGGATTCCAAGTTCACATCTTTACCACTCCAGGAATCATTTTCATCATTTTTTATTGGGCTTGTTGCTTTAGAGTCTTCAGACAACAAGTTATTGAAGTTAGACTCATCAGATTTACTTGTATTTTCAAGATTAAGAAATTCATTACCACTCTGGGGTGGAAGGACATTATTGAGATCATTACTGGTTTGATTAATGGTTTCTTTTTTAATTTCATCCGAGTCAGTAGGTACTGTTGATTGTTGAAAGATTTCCTTGGATTCAGTACCCGCATTATCATCTACCTCATTTTTGGCAGCTATCGGCGTAAACTGAGTTTGGTTTGTATTATTATTTTCAATTTTCGCACAATCCATACTTCTTGATACAGGTGTGTCGTGGGTATCTTTACTGGTAGTGATTAATGTTACGGTTTTACCAACATTTATTTCTAGCTTCTTATCAGGATCATTACTTATTTTAATTTCATTTGTAGTGTCTTTCAATAATTCTTCAAAGTCTGTTTCACATTTGGAAATATCATCCATAGTTGATGTCATTGGTGTTGAAGTAAAATCTTTTTTATCTTTCACAATTTCTTCGCATCCTGTTAATGTAGTAGTGACAATCGGATCTATTTTTTCCTCCGTTTTTATTGCACTATCTCGTATGTGATTTTGCAAAACCAACGGTTTTAGTACTTTATTGTCTGTATCAAATTTAGAGTTCAATCTACCAGTTGAACATGTAGTTTTTAGTAATAGCGGTGACACGTTAGTGACGCTTGTAGTTGTATTAGTCGATGACGTGCACAATCCCAATTTGGTTAAAATCGATGGCGGTCTAATAGTTGCCATTGACAATACAGACGCAGCTCCTTTTTTAGTGTCTATTTTTAAAACATTTCCCAGAGAAACAGGGGAAATAATCCTTTGTGAACCTAAAGAATGAATCACGTTTGAACCTTGACTTCTATTGATTGTGTTGATTTCTTGAATGTTACTCTGAGCAGGCTTGTTACCTTGTATTATAGAAGTGGTTGTATTATTCACTGCAGCAACATGTATAATAGGGGTTGATCCAAAGGGGATGTGATTAATTTTGTCTGTTTTCTGGGGTTGAGTTTCCCTCTTCTCATTTAGTTGACTCACAGTATTAATTACAACTTTATTATTGAGGTGCACTGTGTTCATATTGCTAACGTGTATAGCATTTTGCATTGATATCAAACGATTTTGAGCCATTACTGTCGGATTAGTACTATGTTGTAAACTCGTTGGAGATAATATTATTTTTGTATTTTCGTTGGGATTGTCCGGAATATTCCTTTGGTCAGTCTTTCTACAATCCCCGGATATTATTTTTTGTTGGTGTAATAATGGACTTGTAGTAACACCAATTCCCTTATTTTGCTGAATTAAGTTATTTACATTATTGATTTGTTTTGATATCGGTGTCAAAACTGGAGTGACCGGCAAGCGGTTGAAGTGGATTGGTGCACCTTGTGTTTGAACCAATACTGAGTTTGGTCTGTTGGGTGACAGCATTGTCCTCGCGCCATGTTGTATATGCATTGTTTGAATAGGACTCAAAGGAGGCTGTTGCATTCGAACCACAGTTACTTGACCAGGCGATCTTTGTTGAATAGCATTAGGTGATGTCAATCCTGCTGAATTCAAACTTTGTGGTGAGGTACTTAAAATAGTCATATTAGTCAAACGAGGGGACGTCATTGTTTCACCTTGAGAACTAGCTTTAGGACTTTGCATTCTGGGATCGTTAGGCATACGAGGTGAAATAACAATTCCTTGTGGTTTTTGATATAAAACATGAGGCTCTGGAATCTTGATTGTCGGTGGTTGTATGGTAGGAGCTTGACTACGAATCATTTGATTAATAACTTGAAATGATGGAGCAGTGACTCGAGGCTGGGCCATGATAGGCCTTGTTGTATTATTATTTATTTGCACATTTTGGGTTGGAGCGGTAGTCTTGATTTGAACAATATTCGTAGTTATATGAGTAGGTTTCATTTCATTTTTCTCCCTATTTGGCAAAGGGCTTCCTTGGATATTTAAAATATGTGGTTCCTGTACTTTATTGTTTGCTGGTGTCCATGAGGTTATGACAGGAGTTGCGGTTGATGTAATCAATTGGATGTTCTCTCTTTTTGTCAACTGAATTTTAATATCTGTTTCTTTTACTTTAACGGTAGTATCACTCGCAGTAGTTGTAACAACAGGAGCCAAATTTGGTTTTGTCTCAAGGCTTGCAGCGTTTGAGTTGTCTAAATTCTTTTTTTGTTCAGTTACTGCATGCAAAGTTTGGTTAGTAGCTATAATATTCACAGGCAACTTTTCTATAGCATCTTGAGCTGTTTCGTCATTTTCTTCGGTGTCAGTATCAATTAATAGCAAGTCATTATCCGATACAGGAGTATCTGGTTTCATTTCCATTTCACTAGCATTTAAATTTTGAACAGCTTGTCGCATTTCTTCGGCATCCTCTTCCGGAATATTTTCGTTCTCTATAGTGGCAATTTCTATTTCATTCGGATGTGTTGAATTGTTTTCAGATTCTTCATAACAGTTAGAGAAGGTATTTATTTTACCTCCAAAACTTTCACCCAATAAAGCAGCCACTGCATCTTCGGTCTCCTCTTGAGATATTATAGCTCTAGGTTTTTCGTCGGGCTTTTTCTCATTTTTACATGGTGAAATTTCTACAATGTCTGAACTTGTTTCAATCTTTTCAGTCTTGTCAGCTTCTTTTTCCGAAGAAGTAATATTCCGTACTGCATCTTCACAAGAATCGCCATCGCTACTTAGACTTGATAGGAAACAATCTTCAGTGTTATTGTTCAGTTTGCTAGGCAGAGGATCTTTTGGCAATGGTACTTCACTTATATCGGTAACAATTGTTTCAAATGGTGGAGGCATCGGAATTTCTTCAATTTCAATTTCTTTGTTTTCTATGTAATCCATTTTGTTATCATCTATTATAGTGTTGCTTGAATCTACACTTTTAGAATCAGTATTTTCATCAGATTGTATGACAATTGGAGGGCTATCTGTTAATCGAGGCAAACTTTGTGGTTCTAGATGCGAATGGGATTCCTCAGCTTTGTCAAAATTTACAGTTTGAACGTCATTTGGCAAAGGTATATCTAGTAGCAGAGTATTAGTAGAAATTTCCTCATTTTCGGTGGTATCATGGTCTGCCTTGTCCGCCTTTTCCTGTTGGTAATAGTTGTGGTGTTCTTTTCTACTTTGCCTATCTTCTCTATTTTTCTTTTTCTTCTTTTTCTTCTCTTTGCAATCTCTTTTTATTTTGTCATGTTTAACTATTTCACTAATTACATTGCCTTCAGCATATTTAATATCATTCTTTTCAAATTTATTAAGACTTTCCGAGAGTGTTTCTGCTTTAATACGACTATCGTCATCCATCAAAGCATCAGCAAAGAGTCGTGCCTCTATAGCTTTACCAACAGCATCAACATCTAAACTGTTATCATCATCTTTGAAAAACCTATTTTCTTTACGTTTTTTCTCCTTTTTACGTCGTTCGTCTTTCTCTTTCGATTTATAATCTGGGTTATTCGCAGAAAAACTTGTTTCAGCTTCATGTGAAGAAAATTCCATTTTATGAGTTGCATGTGTTCGAGTATCTCCATCTGATTCGTCAGATAACGGCCCAAAAATGTCTTCCATTTTTCCGTCTTTCTTCATGGTACTACAAACGCTATCAGTAACACCGTCAAAATTGTTATTAGAGGATTTCTTTTCTCGTTTTATTTTACTTTTTTCATCACGAGTGTCGTCAGTATCAATACTTTCTCGCAACTTTTCTTTTCTTTTATCTTTTCTATTACTGTGTCTACGTTGCTTATCAATGGTTTTGTGTTTATATCCTTCCACCAAGCTGGTGTCACTGTTATCGATTTTTTCATCATCGGAGTATGTTGATTTATGTTTTTTCTGCTTTTTCTTATGTTTTCTACGATTGTCTAATGAATTTTTATTACATGCGGATTCACTTTCAGATGAGAAATCATTACACATAGATTTAATGTAATTAGATTTGTAGCCATTATCATTTTCAAGGTTTAATTTAATTTTACTGTCATCACTGTCACTCTTCCCGAATAAATTTAATAAGGAATTCTTTTTAATATTTTCACTTGATTCTTTTGTTATCTCCAATTTAATTTTTTGTGTTGACTCTGAATCTGAAAGTAATTCTTTTTTCACGTTATCCAATCCAAAAGTCGGACTCTTACTAACACTTCTTTTTGAAGCTTCGTCATCTGAAGTGTCAGACATAATACGCGTTCTTGAATTTTTGCGAGACAATTTATTACGAAGGTCTTCTTCATTTGTATTGCCATCGAAATATTCATCGGGTTTATTGGAGTCGTAGTCGTATCGATGTGATTTTTCACGTCTTTTAGTGTGAATCACAATGTCATCATCCGACGAATTATCCATAGAACAATATTTTTTTCTGTCCTGATCAGAATCACTATCTTCATCCCAGCTAGACCTTTTCTTTTCCTCTCGCTTTGCTCTACTTTGCTTTAACTGACTAAATTTGGCCTTAATTTTTTCTTGGCGCTTTTCTTCCTCTTGTTTTTGCATATTTTTGCATGATCGAGCTTTAACTTTATCATACATAGATATATATGTAGGCCCATCATCAATGATATCAAAAATTGAATGCTTTTTAGGTTCATCAGAATCGGAACTATCACTACTATGCACAGGTTTCCGACTTTTACGTTTATTAGTATCATTTTTGTCATCTCTACTTTTCCGTTCTGTTGACATTCGTTTCTCACGAGCAAGTTCCTTCTTTTTCTCGTCACATTTAGGTTTCTTTTCTTCTTTATTTTTTCCCATAAATTCAGTTGGGTGTAATGCATCCCGCTGTAACTGAAGTTCTTGAATTTGTTGTAATTGCTGTATACGTTTTTTCTCTTTCATTTCTTTTCGAAGGGCTCTTTGTCTCTCGTCTTCTTCACTAGAGCGTAATTCTAAAGTAGCTAAAAAATCTAAATCATTCTGCAGTCCCTCATTAATTGATTCAGTGGAAGGTTTGTCTTCAGTTTCATCACCAAGACTCTTTTTTAATGATTTAATTTTGTCTACTGTTTTAGTATCTTTAGGTTCGGAAAGCTTTTCAATGTATGTGTCATCTGGAGGTTTAACCTGATTCTTTTTATCATCTTTCGTTTTGCTTTCAATTATTTTGGCAAAATGACCTTTACTGAATTTGGTAGTTTTATGTCTATTTTCAGAGCGAGACTCTTTAGAATCCCTTCTTTCAGAAATTTTGGAATCATTCCTACCCTTCTTTACGTCTTCGTTGAATATGTCAACACTATCTTGTGACGACATTCTTCGCTTATGTCCAATATTTGATGGTAAACTTGAGCACGAATTAAGTCGTTCCTTTCTTTTACTATCCACGCTAGGTGAGTCGAGGGAATAGTGTCTCTGTTTTTCACCACTGTCTCCTTTCAATTTCGTGATATGTTCTGATGTTACATCGTTTTTATTTTTATGTTGATTACCAGAGTCCTTTTCTTCTTTGTTATCTGATTTAGATTCTTTATCATTTTCATGTTTCACAAATAATTCAATTTGTTTTAACTTTGATTTACCATCTTCCTTTGGATCTATTTCTAAATCTTTCAATTTGGTAGATTCGTGGGATGCTCTCGACGTTGAAGAATCTGTAGAATCTTTGCGACTAAGTTCCCTCGAAGTCTCATCTCTGGAGGATTTTCTATTTTTAACCGATTCTGATTCCTTCTTACTTTCTCTTCTTGAGTCATGATCTTTCTTTGTTCTATCGTGTTTGTGTTTATCATCTTTCTTCGATTTAACGGACGGGCTTTCAGCATCTTGGGATTCCTTTCTCTTTTCCCTGTCACTTCTGTCTTTTTTATGATGATCATGTCTGTATTGTTTTTCGTCGTTATGTTTAGATTTTTCAAACTCCTTATCAGTTTTATCTTTTTGGTTCCTCTCTCCGTCTTTTTCGCTTTTGTTTTTGTCACTTTGAGTTTTCTCGTGTTGTTCATCTTTCGGCCTCTTTTCCTTATCAGCATGTTTTTCAGATTTATTGCTTTTTAACTTCTCAGACTCAGACTTTTCTTTATCAACAAATTTTTCTTTACTGTGACGTATTTTGTCACGATCTAATCTAACACGTTCATCATGATTTCTTTCAGAATCTATTTTTTTATCAGTTAACGTCACTGCGTTGGTATTTCTTTCTTTTTCAAATGACTTATCAAACTGAATATTTTCTTTTTCAAGTTTTGTGTTGTGATAATTGTGGTTGTGTCTATCTTTCATAATCTTTTCGGAATTTTTTACATCTTGATTTATTTCAACATTTGTTTTCATGAAATTAACTGAGTTCAAATGATTTTGTTGCAGCTCGAATTCGATTAATTCTTTGGTTATATGGTTTTCTTGTATTTCTCTGCTGTTATGTTTATCAGTATGACAAAAAAGGTCTATTTTATTTTCACTATCTAATTTTAGTCTTTCGTCATGTTTGTGAAGCTCTGCTTTAATTACACCCTCTTTATTGTATTTCGAACAATGTTTTTCGAACTGTGGTTCACACTTTTGAGAGTCATTAAATTCGACTCGTTTTAGCAGCATTTCCATTACTTCACGAGCACTATTATCTTCCATATTTAAAGAAAGAGAGCTATTATTAGTTTTGTCATCTTGGTGATCATTTTTTGGAAGGTTGTCATTGCGCATAGCTTGACCACTATCAGCATTCAAGGATACAGAACTCGTTTGTTTCGAAAGGCTCGTTGTTGCTATGGAATATTTACTGCGGTCACGAATACGATCGTTATCTTCACCATCAATGCTATCTTCTGTCCCACCAGATGTAATCAAAGACACGTTAACACAATCAGCGGAGTAATTATCTGTGTGCTTCTCAATTGCTTTTGTATCACCTTCGAATTGAGATGAATTGTCATTTTGAACAAGCTGATTTTCACGTTCAAGTTCAGTCTCTGGTTCAGGCGGTGGCGGAGGGGGTGGCGGAGTGCGAGGGCGGCCTCGGATTTCGTGACACAAGTTGGAACTCAACTTCAGCGGAGCATGTTCGGCCATGTCGCCGTCCAGGTCGAGCGATCCCGGCAGGAGAGCTGCCGGTGGCGCCGGAGGCAGCGGGTGTGCCGGGAAAGGGTACCGGAGCGCGCGAGGCGTGGCGGCCGCCAGCCGACCGCGGGGACTACTCCCTGGGCTAGGGGCACGACCGGCGCCTTCTAAACGTTCAGAATCTTCATCAAAAACAGAACGCTTTGCTAGTAACGATCGAACCACCTCCGACGGCTTCACTTCGTTGATATCGACGTCGAGCAGTCGGTGTCGAAGTCGGGTGCGATCTGGCGCTTCTGCGAGAATTCGTGATCCGTTAAGTTTCTCATCTAGGCTGCGAATCCGCTCCTCTAAGGAGGGCGAGTGCGGCGCGGAGCCACCGCTGGAAGAAGATACGGAGGGCGGGCGCGGCGGTGAGTCGGGCGCGGGGGCCGGCTCGGGGCGCGGCGCGGAGGGCGCACTGCGCATGAGCTGCACGGCGAACTTGGGCAGCGGCAGGCTCATGGGCAGCGGCGGGCGCTCGCGGGGCGGCCGGCGCGGCTCCACGGGCGCGGCGTCCGGCTCGTCCCGCAGCGGCGTGCCGGCGCGCGAGTGCGACCCCGAGCCCTCGCGCCGCCGCCGGTGCCGGCGCCGGCTACCGTGCCTCTCTCCGCCTCGGGAGCCAGACCGCGAGCGTCGGGTACCGACACTACGATGTCTCTCCTGCGTCAAAAAACATATGAACTATATAATAAAATAAAATTCTAAAAAATTACGAAGTTGTCTCAAACATCTACGTCAGCAAATAAAATTATATAATATAGTAATTCTCACCTTAGAATGTTTCCGATCATCAGGGCTAGAGTCGCGGCGGTGGCGTCGCGCGCGATGTGGTGATACCACAACCGACTGAAGCCTTTCTTCATAAGGTGTTTCTTCAGCTTGTGGACTTGACCCTACTTCATCATATACCCTGAAGCAATCACATTGCAAATTGTTAACTACCGACAATATTAACAAGACGAGGTAAGCTTTAAAAAAAATTAAAGTTAATAAATATACCTGTACCGTCGGTCTGCTGCGTAGTCAGTCGGATCATAATGTTCTAATGTAGAATAACGCGGGGTTCTAGAAGATGCACGGCCGTAACTAGATGCCCTCGAACGTGAACCAGCACCATCAAACCTGCAAATCAATCTGAACATTAGTATACCCGATCTATTTCTCTATGTTTGTAAATAACAGTACTTATAACTGTTTTGTATTTTTTATACCAAAGATATATTTTATTAAGTAGTTTTTCAAAATATACGAACCGAACAGGATCATGACGAGTTGGCGGCAGATAACGGGTAGCAAGATCCCCACTCAGTCTTTCAGAACCCGTCAACGCCGCCGATCCACCATGTTTTTCCAATTGTTCATAAAACGCCTCCTACAATACGTCCGGAAAATAAATATTCATCCTGTGTCATTTAAAATACTCTATTACTAAAATATTTTCATTTCCATAAAAATTAATGTACAGTTTGTTATGAGATATTATTATATAAAATTGGGTCGCACGACGTTGATACACCCTGCTCGTTGCTCATAAATAAAAGTCTCGTAAAGCCGTTATTATCAATAAGCGAATAATTATAATTTATTTTGTGAAAACTTCGCAAATATCTTAATTGGGTAGTTTCCTTGGTAAAAAATAAATTAATTTGACGTTTCAATACAATAAAATATTGCAAAATAATTATACTTTCATTTATCGATCGATCGATATATTAAATTTTATATATTTTTAGCTAATTTAGAAAAAAATAAGTAAGGTATTTGACTTAAAAATACTATGACGTCATAACTCAGTATTTCATACAAATTTCATAGAAAAATGTCGTTTTTGACATTTGGATAATAGTATTGAATTTGACTATTTGGAAACTACCGTATTGTAATGAAACCAAATACTGGGTAAAATATGACAAGAAAGAAATGTGTGTGACCTGGCACTCGCGGGAGGCGTAGTCGACACAGAGTCGCGGGTGATCGGGCTCGGCGGCGGAGACGGCGGCGGCGACACGGCGCAGCTCGCGGACGGCGGCGCCGGCGGCCGCGGCTTGCTCGAAGTGCACCAGCGCCGCGCCCGCCGCGCGGTCTACGCACACCGACGTCGCGCCGCCGCAGCGCGACACCGCGCTCAGCACCTGCACACCACATTTTAGGTAATTCCAATTTCAAGTAATATAAGAAATACTAACCCCCGGTTTCCGAAAGGCCATTCAATGTTAAAATCAATTTAATCTCTTGTCAAGTCATCTGATTAGTTGACTGAATTATCAACAACCAATCATATGACTTGACAAGAGATTTAACAGGAGATTAGTTAATTTTAGCGTTGACAACTTTCAGAAACCGGGTGATAGACTCAAAAACTAGCTATTTAATAATATTACCGCTAACAAACATAATAAAATACAGTGCTCGAAAGATAGCTATTCAATAGTTGAGTTTGTGCAGAAATCCAGACATATTCTTCTTTTTCGTGAGTTTTAGTACGCTTTAAATGAATCTAATTATTAATATTGGGTCAGAGTACGTAAAAGAATATTGAATAAGAATGTGCATTTTAATAATCACCTGCTTCTCTGTATGCTCTGTAAGACCATCGACCCACACACATGTAGTGGCAACAGGTTTTCCAAAGCCAAGCTTCACTCGTGACCCACCCACATTTTCACCATCCATGGCTCGAATGGCTTCCACGACGCTGGAAATTGATGCATATTGGCAGAACGCATAACCTGCTCCCCCACTACTCCCCTTCTTTATATCGATCTCAATTATTCGTCCGAAATGTTTGAATTTGTCTCGGAGCTGTTGCTGTGTTACATCTTTTTCTAAATTACCGATAAAGAGCGTCCTTGTTGCCTGCAAGAAAAAAACAAACATCGTAACTTATTTATTTCTAAACTACAACAATAATGATGAAATTTTGAGCTGATTTAAAATTATTACTTGACACGCACTTATGTAGGAAATAACAAATTTATTATGGTAGATAATAAGTCACCTGTAATTGCAGTTTCTATTATAATATTCGCAATAATATTGTATGAAATCCTTTCGATAACACATTCTTACAATGATGCTAATATAAAAATATATAAAACGACTTACTCCTACGATTAACGGGGTACACTTTCGTCTATTTTTCACAATTGCGCTCCATGAAAGTAATATTCCTCAAATCTCAATAATATTACATAAAATTATGCACAAAAAACCTTAACAAAACATATAAAAACAAGAATAACTGGCAGCCCAGAAACCTGTTGTTACCTGCATCTAAAAGTCTTAATAGAAAAAATATTTCTAAACCTTTTGTGAACTAAATTAAATATGCATCAAGCAGAGATTTTGAGCAATAAAAAAGGCTAGAATTTCAATCATAAATTAAGGAAACATAACGTATACAAAAACCTAGTGTTTAACAAGCAATATTTGTTAGAAGCTGTCAAATAAACTCAATAAACTATGTTATGTACTTCTTGCTGCCAGTCTAACGATTCATCCACTGTGCACGTGGTTTTGGAATCCCGAGTCAGAAATGTATTAGACATAGCCTGAGATCAGTATAAACTGACCAGAATTGTAGTCGTATTGGCACAATAACCCTAATACATAATATTATTAAGTCTATACAGAGATCTTTTCCTTTATACGTAAGGCACGCCATAGGTACACTTAGCAATTTGAATAATAATTATTATTAGAAAAGACGTGACGTCAATAGCAGAACAATAAGCAAAATACCATGGGTAGCTATTTAGAAGAATAGCGAGAACAGGTAAGTTTTAACATTGTGAAATCGTCCTCTAGCCTCGTAATCAGGTACTCCAGGTAACCGCTACGTCACAAATATTTGAATAAGACGTACACAGTACACACACAACCATTACTTTTAATTATACATTTTGTGTTTTTATAAAACATCTTTTATTATATTTAAAGGTAAATGTTGTTTATTTTCCATTTTAAAAACTGTAACGGAGACTTGAGGAACGTTACTTGTCTCATTTGAATGTAGTATTTTACAGCTTAAAATTATGCAAGTAAATTAAAAACAAACGGGGTGAGCTAAATTAAACCGTTTAAAAACAAAAGCACGAAACTTTTGAATTGGCACAATTACAAAATTGTTCAATTTTATTTATGTTGTTGTCAATGTTTTATACGTATGCAAACTTTGCATGGCAGTATTATCCTATATAATCAAACTTATGCAAGTAGCATTCTATATTTAGCATAACCTTGATTACCGCACACATACAACTGCCTAATTCACCAATCACTTTTACGTCTTTTGTGTTCTTACTGCTAATCCCTAATTCAGTAATTGTTTTACTATAACATGTTTTTGATCAAACATTCAATATAAATAGAACTTGTTTATCCATATTTTGTTTATGAATGTTTTAATGAAAAAACACAAAATGGTTAATATCTTACCTTAGGGTGGTACTCATCGATATCAGTCTCGTAAGGTTTAGCCGAATCTGCATCTTCATCACAGCTTTGATGAGGCGCCACAGAGATCTTACAGCCAAAAAAAAGTTTATCTTGTGATACTTCCAAGGCCTTCTCCACATCGGATGGCTTTTTAAATCGCACCACCGCATAACGATCGGCGTTTTGACCAACTACTTTAACCCATACAACTTTTCCATGTTTCTTGTATTCATGGTAAAGGCCGTCCTTCAAAGAACTATCGGTAGATCGTGTTGGTAGATTTCGCACACAGATAGCCAAAGGTCTACCACTCGCCGTCGACGCCCACTATTAAGACAAAAATATGAAAGGTTATTTGTTAACTATGTGTATTTTAATTAATTGTTTTTAATAAATTTGAGGAGGTATGTCAGTTTCGTTAAAAGCGGATAAAACTAACTATAACACAAAGATTTTATTTAAAAGGTTAGGTTTAAAAAGAAATTGGTACCTAGACAATTAAGATATTATCAATTTGGCGAAGATTGATAAAAAAAACATTCTTAGGAGTTAGATACAAAGGTAATAATATATATATGTAACTGAATATTAATCAGACCTGTAAATTGCTATAGTAATTTTACAGAATTATTGAATACTTCGTTCTACCTATGGAACGAGTAAGCACAGAGCTGTGTTCCACCGTACCTCAAACCATAAAAGTGAATTTTGTTTCTGATACCTATTAATAATAATATATGATTCACTCACTCAATAATATTGGTTGCTATTGTAAAAAAAATACAATGATGATTGACATATCTCGCATATAAAACACAAACTACTTTTATCCTTCGTCAAAATGTTTTACGGCTACCATCAATATTGTACAAGTACTTGTCTTTGAAAAATGTTGATAGTAGCACTAAACAACAATGTTCCTTAATTATTATTAAATAAACAAAAAAAAAGAACCTTTAAACGCCTACGCTTTTTACAAATCTAAACTTATCTGGTTTGAGAAACTACCAAATGAGTGAATGTGATAAAGAAGATTACCAAAATCAAGTTAGTATTTGAGGAATATTATCTTAAATGGAGGGCTTACACGAAAATTTCAATAGTTACTATATGTTTACCTAAAACTTTCTAAAAGTAGGACCGGGCATATGTAAGTTCTGTATCTTACTTCAATGATATCATTTTTATAATCACAAACAGTATATTTATATAATACATACTACTTAAATAAGCAATACAGACTCGATTGCATTATTTTAGGTACATACTTGGTGTTGTAATGATGGCGGCGTCCGATGGTTGGGATGGTGAGACAGTGATGGTTGTGCAGCTGGCGTTGAAGCTCGTGAAGTATCGCTCGGTTCGGGTGAACTCGAGTCCGATCGTGAAGAGCCGGAGCCAGAGTTACGGCGCCGACGTCCTCCTCCTTCAGTGCCGCCACCTGGTGTACTAGGTGTACTTTCACCGCCTGTAGCACCAGGAACTCGGTCGCTATTTGCGTACCATCGGTGATGTGGAGTTGTTCTGAAATTTGTATTTTTTATATTAGACTACAATTGTGAGATATTACAGTTAGTGTTTAGTGTAAGAAAAATAAAGGCTTTGATATAATTAACATTACATTTATCTATTAAATTTTGCATAACAGAGTCAGCAATTATACAATATAAACAATCAAAGATGGGAAACAATTGAATCTGTGACGTCGAATGCCATAGAAAGATTAAACTACCAGACTAATAGACCACACTGTGTTTTATTAGAACTTGATTTGACAGATAATGCAAGTAGAAAGTTAAGAATTAATATTTAACAAGACAACGAGTGTCAGAAGAAACTGTTGCTGACGAAGTTAGCATAAAACTAATGTAGAATTGAACATTTCTTAACGTTAAATAACAGGATAGTGACATGTGACGGTTTGAATGTCTACCATTTTGATGAATGGCTAAATTTCTCATTGAGGCCAAAGGGCTATTAGAGCAAAGTTGCTGCCAGAATGGTATGGTTGGCTTAGAACTTTGACACGCCTAGAAATCTGATTGCCATCAGGAATTAGCAGCTACCAAGATTGTATTGTTATAATATTTACTAAACAGGGACTGATTCGCTAATTGGCTACGGCATATACATTCTGAGTCACAAAAAGCAGAATATTCAAGTACTCGGTGTTTTAATTTCATTAAATTTAAAACGACAATGGTGCTGTTCAAATTATATTAATACATTCACGTGCATATGTGTAAAAAATAGTTTAATAGACATAAGCATAATATTAAAAAGCTATGCTAAATTTGTTTATCATGCATGATAGTGCAAACGCTGTGGAGTTTAAATATGCAAAACGTGACAACCAGCATTATACTCATGTTTATGTCGTATTGTCGACTTGCCCTGTTAACCAAAATGCTAACTACCGATAACGATGTTCTCTCTCATGATTACAGACCCACTTCAGCACTAAACTGTATTAATTGACAATAGCTGCCCAGCAAATTCAAGATTTTACAAACAGTTTTGTGAACTACTTACTACTCAAATCCATTCACAGAATTATTGTCCTCACGTTTTGCATACTAGTGTTACTAGTTGATTTTCGGATTATTATACGAAAATAAAACCAACATAGTTTATCTCGGGGCCATAACTTAACTGTCATCAAATCCCACAATTTAAATATCAGCTTTCTATGGACCTACCAAATATGTAATATTATTTATTGACTACTTTTTTATTTTCATTCATATACGTGCTCATGTGCAGTAAGTACATCTACATCCTCTACATACATTTTTACTATATCAATATTAAGTAATAAAAAACAAATATTCACCATACAATTAATTATATTATTTAATTACGCATTTATATTGGATGCCTATTAAAATCCTATATATTTTTCATATTTTCTTTGGTATTATTTTGATGATTGAGAAGATCCTGAGCCCAAGCCTTGGTATTTTTAAAAAATTAATAAATACCTTTCAACATTAGAGGGTGGTGTGGAATAAGGTGCAGTTGAGTTGTTGCGCTGGTACCTGCCGTACGCGGCGGGCGTGTTACCACGGCGGCAATACTCGGTGGCGCTGTCATTTGTACCACGCCATGCAGCTGGTGCCGCAGCAGTGGCAGCAATTGGACACGTATTGCTTGAACTATCTTCTCCGCCACTGTAAATAACGAATATAAACATATATTATTACACGTATAAAAAGTAAGTTGAGCGTAAAACTAAGTATGTACTACTCGAAAACCTAAGTAATTCCAAATTTAAATGTAAGTATTCATAAATGCTGAATTTGTCGCTCAATAGTTTCCTGTTTTTCTATTGCAAAATAGAAACGAACGAATCTTACTCGTGGAGTCGAGTCATTTTCAGTGCGACAGTCGTAGTAAAGGTGCCTCAGAAGTTTATGCCAAATCCTATTTTAAAGTTATGCATATAAGGATAGTATATATGCTGTTGCACATGTCCAAAATATGACTAAACAGTAGTTATTATAAAAAAGCAATAATGATTTTATGATTTAATCAATATTCAACGGCTAGGGGATTACCACCTTCTCACTCGCACTCACAGGACATCGCCGTAAATAATGAAGCAGCGACGTTTCATCTAGGATGTCGATTCTATTAAGATTTCCTAGTGCTAACAGATTTGATTACAGACAAACGCCTAGATTTGAATTTAAGTGAGATCGAAAATATTCAATTGTTTTAAGTTTCCGTAGCCAAACAGTAAAATTGTTCAGTTTAAAAAGTTATTGCAGATTTACTTCGTGTACGCAACCGCTCGGTGTGAATTTTGATGTCTTTAAAGTGGCTGCCTTAACATTCAAAAAGTTAATAGGATTCGTACTAATACTGGTGTAATATAGTACTAAAACAGATTCTAGCAACACCTATCACGACCTCACCAAGCCTTTTTATTTTTTGTCAGGGGAAGATCATGAAATCTACTTTTCCCGCCCAGGATTATCTCACCACGGCTAGAAGAGTAAAAAACCACTAAAAACATTACTATCTTCCGCTTTTTTTTATGTAATAGGTCGACAAACGAGCAGACGGATTACCTGATGGTAAGCAATCAGCGCCGCCCATGGACACTCGCAACGGAGGAGTTACTAGTGCGTTGCCGACCTTTTAGGGATTAGGGATTTGGAGATTTAGGGATTGAGGAGGGATTGGGCCTCCGGTAACCTCACTCACACAGCGAAACACAACGCTGTGGTTATTTCACGCCGGTTTTTTGTGAGGCCGTGGTATCACTCCGGTCGAGCTGACCCATTCGTGCCGGAGTATGGCTCTCCCACACATAAACGGGAACCCTTGACAAAAAGCAGCCTATGTTTTAATCCAGGGTATCACCTATGTATCTACATACCAAACAATCAAATCGGTTTATCCGTTTTAGACATACTTTTAACATTTACAATAATAATTATAATGAATAACTGTAATGATCGAATTGTGTGTCGTGTGTTCCAGATTCATTCAACACGCCGTATGTCTATTTTAAATTAGGGAAGAAGTTGTTATAACACACCAAAATTCATACGGTTTATATGAGAAAATAAGAACTAGAATAGACTCCTCTTAACTCCTCCTAAACGTCTAGATCGATTAAGCAAGCATTTTTAACCCCCGACGCAAAAAGAGGGGTGTTATTTCTGCAAACGTTTGAGTGGTACCCTGAATGGTTTAGATTCACAAAATTCACAAATCAGCCCGGCAGATGGCACTGATTGCTTGAAAAAACATGTGATCTCGGAAACAGCCTTAACGATTTCGCTGAATTTGATATGTGGAGGTTTTCGAGGACGAGAAATCAATCTAGCTCAGTGTAATTTCTGGTGAAGCGCGTATTTTCGAGTTTCCTCTTTCGCAATATGCACGCTAATTTCGTATGTAGTCGACAGTGGTATGGTCTTCTCGCGATGGCTGGTGATCCTCGGTTCAAACCCAAGAAGACACGTTTTTTTTTTGTTTTTCGACAAGTTTGTAGTTGTAGTAGTATATAACAACAAAAAAAAGGGAAAAAACATAAAAATAAATAAATATTTGTTTTTTTATTCCTCCTTTTTAAGTAAAGTGAAATTTTATTAGAGACTAGCTACTCTCGCGCGGTTTCACCTGCTGCTCAGTTCCCGCATATCATAACGTAATGTTTCCTCGATAAATTGACTAACAAACTTAAAAATAATTGTTTAATTCGAACCAAAAGCTCTGAACTCTAGGGCGCTCAAACAAAGAAAAAAACAAACAAACTACAGCTATATAATATGTATGTAGACATAGACTACGAGAGCACGTTTATCGAAAAGCAACCAACAAGCCTTCTCTCAAACTGACGTCAAAACAAGCCGGGTAACTCCCCAGGTAAACTCATGTGCATTTTGAGGCACTCATAAGGATCTTAGATTTTGGCTGTTTTAATATCCAAATAAGTCAGACTTAAGTATTTTGAACTTTTAATCGTGGTATTTCGAGACGTTTGCTTGGGTTTTCATGAATTAATCGTAATCGATTATAATAAGGAATATGATATGTTTAAGAACCGCGTAATGAAATAGCTAAAATAGCTAGGGAAGGTAGGCTTATTTCGAGACATTTGCTTGGGTTTTCATGAATTAATCGTAAACGATTATAATAAGGAATATGATATGTTTAAGAAACGCGTAATAAAATACTTAAAATAGCTAGGGAAGGGAGGCTTAAATATTCTATTGTTAAAGGATAGGATTGCTCTGCGTTCCTTAGGTGTTGGCCCTGGAGCCAAGAGCATCAAAAAATTACGTATTGTAGTGTCTATCACTAGTAATCTTCTATTCGATCTAATATTTATGGCGGACTATATGCAGATTTCAAAAAAATAATCAGATCTTGAGGTTATATTTTGACTACACTAATGTTTAAGGAGCAAGCTAAAAAAACTATCACAATAGCTTATTTTAGGACCTATCTAGATAATTAGGTGTCTAGTTTTATTACTAACGGCAAAGTGGCTGTAAGTGAAAGATGTATGCATGTAATGCATTGAAACTAATCTACATTGATAACTGAATTCTTAGCATTCGTTTAAGAATGAGATGTTTTATAAACCGTGTACGCTAGAACAGTCTACCTACCTATGAAACCAGCCTTAGTTACCAGTTGCCAGCGAAGACGGAGTCTACTTATGTTTTTAAATGTACATAGTCGCGTAAATACCATTAAATATACATTTAGGAATACAGCTAGTCCTATTTAATAAAATAGACCATAATTAATGATCGTGTATTCTGATATTCTTTATTGCACAGGGTAATTTTTTATTACATTTTTATATGTGATCTTTTTATTGAAAAATAATCTCTGGCCACTGTAAGCGCGAGTCTGTGCACAGCAATTTATGGTAGCGGCAATGTACCACCACAGACGGGCCCATATAGGGCTGATGTTTAGCCAGGGTTGCTGGACAAGCCCAATAAGGCACCGCGGCCTAATGCGCTTGGCGGTCTAGAGAAGGAGAAGGAATGGGGGTTTTTAGTCAGGAAGAGTCATACACTACCCATTCATTTGATGGATTTACCCTCACAAAAAAGGCTGCTTTTTATCAATATACCACGCGGGCGAAACCACGGGCTGAAGCTAGTTGTAAATAAAAGCACGAATCGAATTCTCTTTGTCTTATTACAATGAAAATCCAAGACTATTAAAGTCAAATACACATATTCTTAAAAACCTCACATACGTTTAGGGGATGGAGGCTGGGTTGAACAAAATCTCACTGTCTCGCTAAAAGGGAGAGGACGGACAAACAAGTTTAAAAATCACCTCACGATATTTAATGTAAGTTTATTGCCAAAGAAGTACGATTAAAGCCACATAAATCTGTTGACAAATCGTACGTTTTCTATAATGTGGTAATTTTAAAATTCCCTCGCAAAAATCCAACACGCAATCCATTGCTGGAACGAAACGACGCATTCACTGACAGCGGCATGTCATATATATGTCAAGGTCGAGGATATTAGAAAAATAATTAAAAAGACGAATTGAAACATTTCTTAACGTGACATTTCATAAGAAGACAACACATTGCAGATTCAATAATTTACCGAACTCTATGATTATTAACCAATGTAATAAAACCGGTATCTAAAAATCACCAATAAAAACGTTTACCTATTTTTTTACTGTGAAACGAGTGTCCTGGCCGTTGCTCAACAATTCTCGCTTGGTTTGTAACCACACAAAACTTTGTTTTTTTTTTGCAAAATAGGTAACTAAGAAGAATGATGAATACGTGACAAAAAAATATATTAAAACCAAAAAGTAAAAACAGTACGGTTATTAAGGAGATTACTATAATATACTATACTAATAGACTACACACTATATAACTTTGTCACAAGTTCAAAAAAGGAACCCACTTAAAATATTAGTTTTTATTGAGCAGCGAAACTTTAGTAATCGAAGTTTTTTGTAACATCGGACATCCCTTTTATTTATTTTTTTAAGGATGGAAAATCATCAAGTAGTTTTTGTACCACCCCGTTCCTTCTCCTGCTCCAGACCGAAGCCGCGGTACATTATTGCGATTGGTTGTGATTGATGTTTCATAGTCTATAGAACTCAGCAGCATTGTAGCTACCTATCAGTGAAAAAAATTTGGCAATCCGACCAGCGATTCCAAAGATTACCCCTACATACAAACTTTCAAATTATACCTCTTTATAATATTAGTATAGATACAAATGTATAATACACCCCCAATAGTCTTTGTTCGTCACATAGGCTTTAATTTTAAACATCGGTCGTGAATCGCGATACTGCTCTTCTCCGCTTTGCTCCATTCAGACTCAATGGAACTGCTCCCTTACTGACTAAAAACCACCGTTCACCCGTTTCTTCTCCTGCTCCAGACAAAGGCCGCGGTACCTTATTGCGCTTGACCCGCGACCCCGGCAGAACGTCGGTCCTGTTGAGCCCACCTGCGGTGGTCTATTGGTGCTTACGGTGGTTGGTGATAGTCGCTCGATCCCCGACGCCTGCCTACTAGGCCGGCTGGGGCGTAAGGATAATAGTTCCCTCAAGCACTCCGCCAAACCAAGCCAAGCCCAACGGTTGATTTGTCACTTAGTAATACCTAATTGTTGTGTTAATGTCGTGGTGGCCCGGAGGTTAA